GAAGTTTCCTTGGCTGGCAGGAGGAGGAGCAGAGAGCCTGGAGCTCCCACTCCTGGGGGTGCCCTTGGAGCGGGCTGTTCTCCAGTGCCAAATTCAGTCCTCTGGAGTAGAATGGGGTATGTGGGATCGTCCTCTAAACCAGTTATTTATCCACCTGAACACTGATGGGTGCTGTGTTCCACAGTTTGCATATTTACATACACAAATATATATAATTTTTTTCTAAACCACCTTCTGGCATAAGGAGCTGGAGGAGCAGGAGATCCCTGGGAGAGGAACACAGTTATCAAGGAATGCACAGGGACTCTTAAAATAAATTTGAATATTAATGATCATATTATTATACCTGTGGCACATGTATTTGCTGCCACAAATCGTTTGGAACACGCCAGGAAAAGTATCTGCTCTGTGCAGGAAAGCATTTCCCAGCTTCCTGCTGCTGCTTTTTTTTTTTTTTTTTCCCCTAGAAAAATTATTTTCTTTCTCTTTGCTTAACTCTGGGATTTTGGGCCTTCTCTCTGTATTTTCCAATTGCTGGTTCTAGTCTCTGTTTCCAGCAATGTGCAGGTGAACAGCAGTGGGAATAAATCAATGTATGGATATTTCCTCTGTGCTGCCAGTGCTGGGGGAAATTTTGGGAATTCCAAACCTTTTACTTCCCTGCTACAACTCCCGGGAATTGCCTAGAAGAAATTAAGGAAACACAGGGTGCTTTAGCAAAAATCAGCACTGACTTTCCAAATCCTGCTTGGAATTAAGTTTTTCCTTCGTTTTTCTGGTAGCAAAGGGAGCTCCTTGGAGTTCAAACAGTTGTTTGATGACGGTTCATTTTACCTCGTTCCTTCTGCAGCTCAAACAGGCTGGATGTGTGTTCTTTAGAAAAATAATTTCCCTCCTGTAACAGCTGGATTTGGGGAAAATTAGTGATTTTAAACAAGGAGATTTTTTTAAAAATTACATTAATTACATATATATGTATATAAGAGAAAATAGTGAATGTCTACTAAGGATTCTTTTTTTTTTTTTTCCCTAACCATGAGAAAAAAATGTAACATATTTTTCCTTTTATTTCAGTGGAAGTGACACTCCCAAGATTCATAATATCTTTATATATATATAAATTATATATAAATATATATAAACATATATAAATATATAAACCCTTATATATAAATATAAACCCTTAAATATAAATATAAATATAAATATAAATAAACCCCTTTAAATTAATTTCCTATGGAAATTAATGATAAAAAATAATTATCTAGGCAGAGGAGTAGATTTGTTAATCATCTCCCTTCATTATTGACACATTTCTTTAGTTTCAGGGTCTGAACATCACCTAAAACCATGGAATTAATAACCAAGTGTTGCCACAGTGGCTGACTGGAAAAGCTGGGAAATAAAGGCCTGTGGCTTCCCAGTGGAAAGAAGAATAACCTCATGGCCTTTATTTAGTAAAACATAGATTTAGTGTCGTTGTCATGAAGGTCTTTTCTTAAATATCTGTTGGACCTGATGTAAATTGTCTTTCCTGAGGAGAATGCACCAGCTGGTTATAAATGCTCACACTCTCTGCTTTTAAAGGGCAGTTCTTAGGAATTCCATGGAATTATGTCTCCCTCTTGGAGATTTTCTCCCAGCTGTGGTCAAGGTCTCTTTTGAAAAAAGAATTCAAAGAAGTGACCCAACATTTGGTGTTAATTTACCTCAAAGTGTGCTGCATAGATTGTTTTAGTTGATTTTTTTTTCCTTAGAGCTGGATTAATCGAAGTGTGTTTTGAATGTAAAGTTGTGTTCAGCTCCTGCCCTCCCTCACTGTGAGCTCTGCTCCAGGTTAGTGTTTGCAGATTGTGATTTAGACCCCAAATTGGTGGGGTTTGACCCTGAAAACTCAGATAATTTCTTGTGGCAGAGCAACAGAGTTTCTGATTAAAATTGGTGGAGGGGCAGGAAAAAGGGGCATAAAGAGAAGGAAACTCGGTACCAATTCCCTCAGATTTTTAGCAAAATGAAAACCAGAATTACGATCTATCAGCAAGACTGGCTTTAGTGTTACTGTTATTTGGGGTTTAACACCGATTTCACCAAGCTGGCGAAGAAAAACGAGGCAGCATCACAAAGGATGGAAAGTGAAAGTTAGTTTTTGAGTTTGGTGCTTAAAAGTAGCCCGGGAATAACACACAAATCTAATTCTTGGTACTGGTGGTGTCTGTAAGGGCTGCTGAGTTGGATTTTTAGCGCCAGAACCTCGAGAGAGCTTCTGGTAAATGTGGCTGTTTAATGCTCCAATGACCATTTTATGTTTCAAGGGGAACATCTGAAACAAGTCAGGGCAGGAAAAAAAAGCATCTGTATACTTTTTATTCTGTTCTTATGTTGGAAGTGCTGGGAGAAATTGTTCATAATTCTGGAGTTATTCAGAAATCCTAGTTCTGCTTTTACCACACTTTTTTTTTTCTACCGTTTCCCACCGTAAAAACCAAGGAGTGGTTTTTGCTGCTTTCCCTGGCTGAGGCAGAGCTTGGCTGTGCTGCAATTCTTGAACTGTTCTTTTTCATCCTTTTTTTTTTTTTTTTTGCCTTTTTTTTCCCCCCCTTTGGCCATAAATGCCGAGGTGGCAATTCCCGCTCGGGGAACGGGGTCCCGGAGGTGATTGCGGGAAGAGCTGACGCCCCGAATTTGTTTGTGTTTGCTTTCCCCGCGCAGGCCATGGAGCGGCTGGAGGAGGAGCTGAGCTGTGCCGTGTGCTGCGGCATCTACCAGGACCCGCGGGTGCTGCCCTGCTCGCACACCTTCTGCAGGGAGTGCCTGCAGGGGGTCCTGCAGCGCTCCGACACCTTCCCCGCCCGCAGGCGCCTCAAGTGCCCCAACTGCCGGGCCCTGGTGGACATCCCGGCTGCGGGGCTGGAATCCCTGCCCGTCAACTTCGCCCTCAAGGCCGTCATTGACAAGTGCCGGCAGGAAGAGCCCTGGGACGTGCAGACGTGCCGGGAGCACCCCCGGCAGCCCCTCAACATTTACTGCCTGCTGGACAAGCAGCTGGTGTGCGGGCAGTGCCTCACCATAGGGCAGCACCACGGGCACCCCATCGGGGACCTGCACAGCGCCCACCGCAGGGCCAAGGAGGCCGCTGGAAAGCTGCAGGAGCAGCTGCCCGAGCAGTACTGGAGGGAGGTGCTGCTGTGCTACATGAAGCTGACCACGCAGAAATCCCAGTGGGAGAAGCTCCTGCGCAGCGAGAGGGACGTGGTGGGGCAGTTCTTCAAAAAGCTCGGGGACACCTTGGAGCACAAGAAACAAGCCCTGCTGGGGGCTCTGGATGAGCTCGACAGGCGCTTCCTGCGGGAACACGAGCCCCTGCTGGAGGGCGTGAGCAAGATGAAGGTGGAAGAGATCGAGCTGAAGTACCTCAACTCGTCCATCCGCAGGGAAAAGTCCCCCCTGCTGTGCCTGGAGAAGCTGGAGGAGCTGCAGCAGCGGGTCAAGGCCCTGAGGGAGAAGGAACTGCCCGATGTGAAACCTCTGGAGATTCGTCCAAGGATGGAGGACCTGCTGAGGGACGTGTGGGCTAAAACTGAAGTGGGTCAGATCCACAGGATCCCCCCTCCAAAACTGGCGCTGGTTCCCAGGAGGAAGCCATGCAGCAGCTGCCCTGGGAAGGAGAAGGTGGCAGGGAAGGAGCAGGAGTGTGCAGTGAGCCTGCCCACCCTGCTGCTGCTGCTGCTGCTGGGGGTGGCGGGTGCTGCGCTCGCCCTGCACACAGCCCTGCCCGCTCCCATCCAGGCTGCTCCCGCATGGATCTGGGAATTCCTGCTCCAGCTGTACCAGCACTCCTGCTCCCACCTGCAGAAGGCCCTGGATGGGCTGTGCCACCCGTTCAGCTCCCTGATGGGGCTCTGCAGGAGGATTGTCCCCTTTGGCTGCTTCCACGATTAGATGAGGAGCCGGTGCCGGAATCCAGGATCAGTTCTGATTCCCACTGAAAAGCTGGATTATTAAAGCTCTACACTTTTCCCTTCCATTCCCATATCCTTCCTTTTCTCTAGTGCCTGGATTTCCTCTGAGCTAAGCCCTAGTGAAGGAACGATTTGCACCAAGAAGGGCTTTCTGTCCCTCTGGGGTGTTTGTTCCAGCCGGGATCCAGGCAGGACCAGCAGCTGGAACCACCTTACACGTGGGAATCTGGGTCTCATCTCTGAAAACTCCTTTAGCATTGACTCTCTTTATTTTTAGTAACCCCTTTGGAAATTGTTTTTTAATACAAACGTGACAGGTTATCAGGACCCCCCAGCTGCAAAGGGGCAGGGCTGTCACTGCCTCTGGTGTGCCAGGGACTCCCTGTCTGTGCTCCCTGGCCCGTGATGTGTCACAGCACAGACATTTGTGCTCTCTGAGCTCTGTGCTCGTGGCCCTGGGGCTGGTTTTGGTTCTGGGTAGAGTGAAGGACATGATTTCCTCCTTTTTGTCATTTTTTTTGTCCTGTGTGTAATAATTTTGTGTGTTTTTCCCAGGTTTCCCCTCTCCAGGGAGTCCTGCAGAACAGGACCTTGGATGCTCACACAGGTTTAGACCCAGCTTTCAGAGTTCCAGGGGCAAATCCCACCCATCCCACTGCTCAGCTCTGGAATGGTGTTCCAGGTGTGTGTTGGGACTGTTTAAGTGCTCTCAATTTCCCAGTACAACTGGAAATGTTTGTCCTGAGCCCTGCTGGGAGGCTGCACTTGGCCCATCGCTCTCCAGTGCTGGTGGGCTGTTCACTGCCCACCCCTCTTCCTATCTTTTATTTTCCTTTTTAAAGAATTTCTAACACAACTTTATTTTTCCCTCCAGGAACTGAAAGTGACTCCTGTAATAATCCCAGTGTATTCTCCGAGTTTGCCTCCCAATAAAGCCTGTTCTTACAGCAGGACTGGCCAGCACCTTCCTCCCCTCCCTGCAGCCCCTCCCCTGGCCCCTCATGGAGAGGTTCTACAGGGCAGTTTAATGTAAAAGTGGAATTTATTGAGGTGGGGTTTTATTAACAAAATGTACAAACCAAAGCAGGAGCAGCTCAGACAGAGCTAAAGAGCAGCAGAGGGGAGGGCAGTCGGGCCCCCCTGGCTCTGGGCTCCCCCCTCCAGGGCAGCCAGTTCAGCCAGTCCCTTCAGGGAGATGGCTTTGGGGTTGGTGGCCGTGCTCTTCGTGGTGTTCATGGTCTTGTAGATGCCGATGAGCCTGTCCGAGATCTCAAACATGTTGTTCCGCAGGGAGATGATGATGAACTGGGCGTTCTTGGTTTGCTCCTGAAACACAAAGGGGTTGTTATTGCCCAGCATTCCCAAAGATCTGTTCCTGGGGGAGCCCCCTGGCCAGGGACAGGCCTGAGGAGTCATCACCAGCCCCAGTGTTCCTGCTCCCATCCTTTGTGGACACCCTGTGGAAGCCAAGTTCAAACCTACAGCTGCAGGCAGGGAACCTCCAGGTGTTCCCCTGATTTAAAGCAGCTGATCCTAATCTTTGCCATCTGTTCCCAAAACTGGTGGTGACATTTGGGATAATTCTCAACAGCCCAGGTTTAATTGGCAGCCACAACTGTAGCTGGAAAGGTTTGCTTTGCTTAAATATGCTGAGGGCAGGACTTTTAAAGGCATGAGAAAAACTACCAATCGAGACAGATCAGAGACACTGAGGGGACACAGCTCCTGGGAATGAATGGAAATATAAATCCTTGGAATCCAAGGAGCCTTGGCTGCTCCTGAGAGATCATGAGCTTGGATACATGGAGACATCACCAAGAGCTCAGTCAGTTGTGTGTTCTCAGCCAACAAGAGCTGAGGGTTTGGGGGATTTTAAAGAGGAAGCAGCACATTGAGATGTGGCTCCTTTGGCAAATTCCAGCTCTCTTTAGGCAACTTCTGAAACAGGATTTGGAGGGAAAACACTTGTAAATCCTCTATTAGTCCCCTCACTTTGGGGAAGTATCAAACTCAGGAGCTTCAAAAACCATGCAGAAAGCAAAATTCCAAGCACTTTTGGGAATTGCTTCCTCTGGAGCTCCTGCTGCCACTGTCATTGCAGATTTCAGTGTGGTGGAGCTGCTGCCAGTCGGTGTGTGTGGGGCAGGAGGCACAGCCAGAGGTGTCCTGGGTACTCACGTAGATGTAAAAGGCCACGATGGAGACGTTCTTGAAGTCGAGGGCGGCGTCGATCTCGTCCATGAAGTACAGGGGGGTGGGTTTGTAGTGGTGCAGCGCGAATACCAGAGCCAGAGAGCTCAGCGTCTTCTCCCCCCCAGACAGGTTAAAGATCTTCTTCCAGCTCTTCTTGGGAGGCCGAACGCTGCAACACAGGGAGGGAATGACTTCCACACCCAGCACACCCTGCTGGGACACCCCACAGCTCCTGGGATTCCCTTCCCAGTGCTCCTTCACTCCTCAATAAGGAACATGCTCCTCAGAGCGTCTGTGGCACTACACGAGTGCCCCCATTCCCTGGGCACATTTGGGAATTCAGCACTGGCAAATGAGCTTTCCAACTGCTGTTAATTCCTGATTTCTCCAGGGAAATGAATCCCTGGGGTTTCTGTCAGTACCTTGCCAATAGCGAGCCCGTCTTGGTTCACTGATGATCACCTTTAAAAACAGGTTGGAAAAAGGAATGTGACAATTATTTATTTTGACCAACCTGAATACGATTCCCTCGGAGAAGGGATCCAGACTGTCCACAAGCTCCAGCTCAGCATCCCCTCCCAAGGTGAGCATCTGGTAGTTCTCCTTGAGCTTGTTTGTGATGAGATTGAACCCTGCCATGAACTCGTTCAGCCTCTGCTTCCTGAGATCTTCAAAGGCCTGTCTGAAGTTGTCCCTCTCGGTGGTGATGTCGTCCAGCTCTGCCACGTGTTTCAGGTACAGGTCCTCCTGCAGGGAAGCACAAACAGCACCACAAAAGTGCAGTTAAACAACTGCCTCCTCAATTTACATTTTAAACCACTTTTCCTACCATTTGAAAATTGCCTTTTCAGGAATTTCAGGCTAACAGCCCTCAAACAAAAAAAAACCCAAAATTATTTCTCTTTTCTCCTCTGCTGCTGAGGGAAAAATCGTGGTAAAATAAAAAATATTTCACCTGATGGATAGTCCACTATTATTGAAGTGAGGAGAAAAAAACTCCCAGTATTTTTTTCTGCCTCAGCTGTGAAGACTTGACTATAAATTGACAGGAGACTCAGGGAATCATTTAGGCTGGAAAGGACCTCCAGGATCACCAGGGCTGATGGTGTGGAATACAGAAGGCTGATGGAAGCTAAAACAACCTTCACCCTTGGCTGAGGACGAGCTGACAAACACTGGGGCTGGTGACAGGAACCACGGGGCTCCCCTGCATTCCCCAGAGGAATGAAGAGGAACAGGACTCCTCTTGGCTGGAATTCCTGGAGATGGGATGGCCCTGGAAGGCTTTACCTTCTTCCTGTACTCAGCAATGGCCGTCAGGTTGGGTTTCATCTCGTGCCTCTGGGCCTCGAGCAGCGCGATCCTCTTGGTGACCACGCTGGGGTCCTGCAGCGCCTCCAGCTCCTCCTCCCCCAGCACCGGCAGCTCCTCGGGGGGTCTGTTGTCAATGGAGTGCAGGGACAGCGTGGAGATCTGCAAACAACACCGTTACTGGGAACCTGGGAAAATCCCAACTGGTCCTGTGGTACAGAGTGAAGCTTCTGCGAACGCTCACGGGTTCTTCACAACCCCCTTTAAATAGGATGTGAAAAACACAATAAATATCCTGTTATCCTCTTCCTGCATAAACACCACTGAACTCCCAAATTACCTGTTTTCTAATGAGATGTTAATGAGCTCATGCTGTGAGCTGAAGCTGCCCCATCCCTGCAAGTGTCCCAGGCCAGGCTGGATGGGGCTGGGACCTGGGACAGTGGGAGGTGTCCCTGCCCACGGCAGGGGTGGAATGAGATGGGCTTTAAGGTCCCTTCCCAACCCAAACCATCCCACAATTCCATGATCGAAGTTTTAGGAACTAAACCATCTCCCTACCTCTTTTTGCCAGTGTTTAACCTTTCCCTGGTGGGCAGAGATGTGACTGTCAACTTGTTCAATCTTCAGTTTGATGTTCAGAGCTTCACTCTGAAGTTCATGTTCCTCGTTCCGAATCTTTTCAATCTCCTGGAGCAAATTCTTCTTCTCCTCCTGCACTGCTGGCAAAGCTTCCTGGACAGAAATCACCAAAACAGGGCATTCATCAGTCACCTGCAAAAATGTCACCCCTCTCTTGGGCTGTGGGTTTGTTTTCACCTTGGTTATTCACAGGGATTGATGGAAACAAACACACGGCCTTGGATTTATAAACTGCTCCCTGAAATGGGCAGTGACTGAAGATGGGCTGCAGTTTGTGTTTTCATTCCTGATCTGATCAAACTACAATCTCCAGTCCTACCCTCACACATTTTTAGCTAAAAGGCAGTTTTAGAGAAAGAGAGGCTCAAAACTCAGCTGTATTGGGAAGAAATTCAGCCATCCTGGTTGTTTTCCCTCCCTCACATCCAGAAATCCAGATGGGAAGTTAAAATCCCACATAACTGGAAAAAAACCCTACAGATTTAAACACAGTAATTTCCTTGGGGAAACTTGGTGTTTTTTTCTAATATTCAGCAAACTGGGTCAAGATACATCTCCAGGTGAGTGTAAAAAACAAAAATACACCCTTGCCATTCCCTGGAATGTCAATCTGCAGCTGTACAACGGCATTTGCATGGGATTGGGATGCAAGTGGGATACAATGAGGATGTAAATCATCACCCTGGTTTACCTGGAGGTGCCACCCACCTCAGCCTGCTTGTAGTCGTTCATCACCTCCGTGGCTTTGTCCTCCAGCGTGCTCAGCTCTGCTGTCAGGTTTTTGATGTCCTTCTCGTTCTCCTCCATCTCCTTCTGCGTGCGCTGAAGGGCCTCCTCGGATTTCTGCAGGTTCCTGCAGGGGGACAGAGATGTTTGTGCCCCCAAACAAGGGCAAACGTGACAGAAATTACCCAGAGACAACCCAGGAGGAGGTGCTTGTTTAGGCATCAACTGCCACACTCCTGAGGTATCCAAGGAAAACAGAGTTGTCTTCCTTAAGCTCAGAGCAGCCAACCCTCATTAAATGACTTCATTTCTTCTCTCAGAGCCAGACTGGACATTTGTTGCAAATATTCACTATGGACTGCTAAGCTAACACAAAAAATGGACCCCATTTTCTTTCCTGACAGGTCAGGAATCAGCCCCCTCAGATCTGAAGTGCTCCAGTGCATGGCAGTTTGGATCATTATGAAATACAGCAGTTCAGTGCCAGGCAAAGCTCAGAGAAATGCTGATTAAATGTGCCTTTGAAACTATCAGAAACCACAACAGGGTGTTTCCCTCAGGCTCCTCCAGGGCTGTGTTGCTGTACCTGTCTGCAGTCCTGGCTGCCACCTGGGCCTTGGTGATGGCTGAGGAACATTCATCTATTTCTTTGTCAATCTTGTCAATCCTGTCTTGCTGGGCTTTCACTTTATGGTTGGTGGTCTCCATGATGAGGTTCTGCAGCTCTTTCACTTTATTTCCCATTTCCTTGGCTTTCTCAGCCAGCTGCTCATAATCTGTCAGGAACAAAGGGGGTTAATCCCTGTGACACCCCTGGGACTGCTGACACCAAGATTTCAGTCAGGAAGTGATGGAGGTGATTTGTTCTTTTACTGTATTAACTGCACATGTTTGTTTATACTGTGAGAAATGGTGAGCGTAACTGTGACAAACATAAAATTACCACCCCTAAACACTTAACAGGATTATTTCATGTTACTGTACACTTCTAAAGGATGTGTGCCCCCCACAGACTACAGGGGATTGATTTTATTCTCGTGTAATAGTCTAGTTAGAACACGGAAAGAGCCTTCACTTGACTTTAATGGCATGATCTCCTCATCACTGCTTCCAGTTAAACTCAGTTCCCCTATGAATCTGTATGTCATACAGCCATAAAAATCTAACCAAAGAAATAAATACCACAATTAATGTTTAATTCAGCTTGAGAAATTGCAAAAAAAAAAAGAAATGTTTTTTACTCTCTAATCTCTAGAAATACCTTTTATTCCTTAGAAGAAATGAGGGCCTAAACTAAGATGCAGAACTGAAGCACAAAGCCCAAACCATTCCCTCCTCTGTTGATAACCATTTTAATCTCCACCCCATCCCCACAAAATGTACCTTTCTGATAATCCTGCAGGGCTTTTTCCAGTTGCTGTTGTTTGTTTTTGTCGGGAGCGGCAGCCACGACGTTCGCTTCCAGTTCCTTGACTTGGTTTTTTAGATGAGTTTCTTGCTCAGCAAAACTCTGGGGAGAACACACGAGGGTTGGGACGCTGTCCTGGGACTGTCCCAGGATTGTGTGGGGCTGGGAAGAGCCCCAGGACACTCCTCACCTGGATACTGGCCGTGTACTTCTCCGAGGTGTTCCTCATCTCCCGGATCTCCTGCTGCAGTTTCCTTATGGCCTCTTCCAGCTGGGATTTCTCCTCCTCACACTGCATTGCTCTCTTACAATCCTTCTGCAGCTGGGCCTCCATCTGATTGACCTGCACAGACAGAGGATCATTTACCTGCTGTCACTGCCACAAACAAAGCACAGTCTGTGAGCTCCTCAAGCACAAGGACCAAGCGGAGTAAAAAAGGTGGCAATTTGATAATTTGCTCTAATGGTGAAAAAGGAGGGGCAACTACAGATTAAAACCTAAAAGAATTCAGAAGGAAAAGCAAACTGCATCCTGATATGCCAAAGTACTCCTGAAATGCAAATTGGTAGGAAAGTTCTGACACTGCCTGACAAATCTTAAGTGAGGGCCCAGCCCTGTGTTTTCTGTTGTTGCTCTGCAGGAAGTGGTGCCTTGTGATCCACATCTTCCATGTCCTCATCCCTACTCCCAATCAGTTCCCAAGCTACCAAAGGCAGCGCTGTGGGACTAAACATTCAATAATGGGCTGTGCAAAAACACACAATCCCAGAGTTACTGAGGTTGGAAAAGACCTCCAGGTCATCCAGTCCCCCCTGTGCCCAATGCCCACCTTGTCCCCCAGCCCAGAGCACTGAGTGCCAGTCCAGTCCTGCCTTGGGCAGGGCTGGGCACTCCAAACCTCCCAGGGCAGCCCCTGCCAAGGCCTGACCACCCTTTTACACACTTAAGAGCACCATAAGCTCTGCTGAGCTTGTGAGTTCTGGCTTTATAAACCCCTGTTAGTGCACCTCACATCCCACATTGTCCCTGCTCCTGCTGATTTCAAAGGACACACCCACACAAACCCTAAGGAGCTCTGAGGGAATTCCCCCTCTCCTTAGGATTCTGTACTAACCTCTTCTTCTGAGACATCCGTGACGACAGAGGATCCCATCCTGCCCTTCAGGACCTTCCCGCCCCCACTCATCGTTCCTGCAGCACAGGGGATGAGAAGGGGTCAGAGAACACGTTGGGCTTTGATATCACCTACACAGTGCAAGTGTGTGCTGCAGTACCTGACATCTCGATGATCTGTCCCTGCAGCGTCACCACTCTCCACCTTTTATCCCTTTGGAATGCCACTCTGGTGGCTTCATCCAAGTTTTTGGCCACCAGGGTGTCCCTCAGGGCGAAGTAGAAGGCCAAGCGAACCTTCTGGTCCTCCACCTTCACCAGGTCAAACAGCCGGGGGGTATTTTCAGGAGTTGGGATTTTTCCTATTTTTTTTTCCCATACAGTCATCTACAGCCACAAAGGAAATACAGGAATGAGCCATCCTCTAGGATACATGCTGAGGTCATTGCATCATTCTAAGACTTTAAAGCAAACACAATCAGACTGTAATAGTGAAACAGTTAGTTTTGCCCAAGCTCTGGGACTCACCTTGTCCAGGGCTATAAAGGTGGCAACTCCAACCCTTCCTGCCTTCAGGAAGTTCACACAGGCCTGGGCAGTGTCAATGGTGTCCACAACAATGTGGTCCAAGGCTCCACATGCTGAGGAAATGGCCACGTCGTACTTGTCGTCGATGGCTCCCAGATCTCCCTGAGGATGGGGGTGGAAGCACATGGATGAGCTTGGCAGCTGTGCCTGCCCTGGGAGTTTCATCCTGTTTAGTAAATCTGTGCATTTTTTTAAATGTACCTACACTGAACAGACTGATTTTGCTGAAGCAGAGAGAATTCTCCTTGGATGGACAGGTGGGGAAAAAATTGCAAAATACAAACCCAGCAGTTTAACATTTACGTTTTACATTTACTCAGTCACAGAAACACCACTCAGTTCCTCTAAAGTTTAAGCCTACAAGGAAAAGAGCCTCCTAAAAACGTACCAGTCTTCCATAAAGTCCAGGGATATTCCCAGCTTTCTTCTGCTGCAGCAGAGCCTCCAGCACCTTTCCTCGACTGCGACTTTGGGCTAAAGAACTTTTGGCTTCTTCCACTTTTCGCCGCAGGTTCCGCACCAGATCCTTCACCCCCAGCTCCTCCCGTCCCAGCTTCTCCAGAGCCAGCTCTTTCTGGGGGTTCGAAGGAAGAAAGACACTGTCTCAGCCTCAGGAAAACTGGATTCAGGCATTTTATTGTGGGGAATAAGAGAGGAGCAAGGAATGGAATTCAAATAAGCCCAGAATGGTTTGGGTGGGAAGGGACCTCAAAGCCCATCCAGTGCCACCCCTGCCATGGGCAGGGACACCTTCCACTGTCCCAGGTTGCTCCAGCCTGGCCTTGGACACTTCCAGGGATCCAGGGGCAGCCACAGCTTCTCTGGGCAACCTGTGCCAGGGCCCCCCCACCCCGAAGAAGGCTCAGAAATACACCCATTTCTTTATTTTAACACGTCTCAGTGGGATATTTAATCTGATTCCCTTGCAGGGATATGCAGGATGGAATTTCAGTGCTTAATGTTAACATTGGCTTAACCCAAAATAAGTGTGAAATGCAATACTTACTCCCTCAGTGAACTGAGGATTAGAATACAGGGTTTGAATGTTCTATTAGAGGCTTTTTGGTTTCTCTGCCCCAGGATCAGTGCTAACAATTCACTCTGGTCTGGGTTGTGACTCAAAGAAATGAAAGAGGAAAGTCAATCATCACCTCCTTGAGCTGCTGCTCAGCCCGGGGCAGTTTCCCAGAGATGTCCTTGATGGCAGCTTTCCTGTCCCTCAGGGTGTCCGAGGTGCTCCTCAGGGCCTCCTGGGCCTGGCTGAGCTGGGCCAAGGCCGTGTTGTACCTGCTCAGGTGGATCTCCAGCTCCGACTGCGTCAGCTCCACGTTGGAACGGGCCTCGGTCACCTCCTTGCTGAACTCCATCAGCTCCTGCTCCTTGGCCTGCAAAAGCACCCGAGGGGACAGCTCAGCCCCACAGCCCCGGGGGTTCTGACACCACTCCCACTGGGGGAGGAGAGACACGAAATGGGATGCAGAAGACAGTCCCGTGCTTTGGAAGAACCAGCATTTCTTCATTTATTAACATATGCTGGGGGGAAATTAAACAAGGAGTTTGTGCTAATTATAAAGAACTTCAGGGAATTAACACAGAACACTTCCACATAAGCTTTATATCATTTGCTCAATTTGTGCTAAATTACAGCTCAAACCCACATTTCCAAGTACAGAAAATAACCCCCCAAACTGGCAGGATAAATTTCCAGGCTCCAGGTGTTCAGTGACTGAACAGCTTCAACAACAACCACCAGCTGTTGGAGTAGTTAATTCAGAGGCAGATTATCTGCTGGGAAAGGTTTGGAACATCCCATTCCAAAATATCTTTCTTTAAGCAACACATTGGCTTATACGGTTTGGTGGGAGAAAATGAAAGTGCAAATAATGGTAAGTGTAAGATTATTTAATATAAATATATGAATGATACACTTGATCAGACAAGTAGGCTCTTGTAAGGGCAGACAAGAAAGATTGAGCTCTACTTATAAATTGAGGATTAACTTCCCAGTGAGGCTGCACTGAATTAACACGTGAAACAGTGGAATTGTCGTGGAAAATGGCATTTCATGAGTGTTTTCTGACCATTTCCCCCAGCAGGGTGAGGTTAACACAGCAAGTTTCCCAAGTCACAACTGTCCAAACCTCTTTTTCCTTCCGAATTTCCTTTGTCTCATCCTGAAGGCTGGCCAGAACCTGCTGCAGTTTGGCTTCCTCCTTCTCCTTTGCCTTTTCCAGGAGCTCCTTCTTTGCCTTTGCCTCCTCGATGGTTTTGGTGCTCGTGGAAGGGACTTTCTTCAGCTCTTCTACCTGGGAAAGGGAAAGGTTTTTAAACCCCTCTCCCAGGGAATTCCTCACTCCCCCCTTGATCCAGGGAGTGATTGCAGATCACAGGCCCACTAAATTAGTTCCATTAAGGGACATCGTGCACTGCTGCACGAAATGATTGGTAACCAAAACCTCTGGCTGATTTAAGGACTTAAAATAGCTGATTAAAATATAATTTCAACCCCGTTTTTCCATCTTCTTTGTTGCACAAACTGCAACTGGTGTCTCTGCTATTTTCTGCCAGCTGCACAAAGATGTTCTCACAATCCATTACACTTCTCCAAGTCGATCAAGTTGTGGTTCAGTTACCTTTTCTTTGTCCTTTTGAAGCTGCTTCTCCAGTTTTTTCATCTTGCCTTTGGCATGTTTTAGATTTTCCCTCACTCTCACATCCTGCAAATCCAACTGATTAAATTTTTCTTTATTTTCCTCTATGAACTTTGTAATTTTATTGAATTTCCTGAAGGAAAAAAATAAAAAGAATGATCCATTTCATACAGTACAAGAATAATGTCAGTGGAGCACAGAGAATTTACATGTACAACACAGTACTTGTAAATATACCCCTAAAATACTTACTTTTCAAGTTCTTTCAGAGCTTTATTTTTGGTTTTGGTTTCCTCTGCAAGTTTACTGCTTTTCTCATTGATGCTTTTTGTTTCTTCATTAATCTTTGCTTTCTGCATTTCCAGATCCTTTATTCGTTTCTTTAGGTCATGGCTGGGGAAAAAAAAACAACAATAAACCCCCAAACTCCACTTTTTTTCCATGAAGCTTCAGTGTAACAATGTGGGTATACAAAGTATTAAGCTGTAATATTAATTCTTCATTAGGAAATACAAAATATTTCTAATTAGAGACATTGAAGCTGAGTTTAAGCCACCTTAGAGAATAACTTACATATAGTACTGATAGATATGATTTTTCTCTTTAAATATCTTGTTTTCCAAACACAGGAACTCAATGGCTTGATTCTTGTCCTCTTCCAAGGCATCCTTTTCTTTCTCCACCATTTTAACTCGATTTAACTACAAAAAAAAAAACAAACCAGAGGGGCAGAGCTGAGACAGAGCCAGCACTGGAGGAGGAAACCACGAGGAGAAACCCCCCAGGAGCTTCTGATTGGAGAGCTGGAGGTGAGGAATTAACTCTGAGGGGGGATTTGGCACGAGCTTCCTGAGGTAACACACACAGGGTTATTTTCCCCTTTCCCACCTTTGGAAGTTCATTCTGCAACGGCATATCTTTGGTTGGCCTTTCAACCAACACTGCAACAGGGTGGGGATTTACCCAGACATTTTCAGCAGAAATGCTGAGTCCAAGCTTGCCAGGCCTCACCTTCTGTCCCCTGAGCTCATTGAGCATCTCCACCCTGCGGCACAGGGTGTGGATGGGCTCCTTCAGCCTCCCAGAGCCGATGATATCCTCCAGATATTCCAGCATTCCCTCGTCGTGCTCCGTCTGCCCCTTGGGCTTCATCAGCGAGATCTGTTCCACTTCCCCCTTGGAAAAGAAAACTCGGGTGGTTTCTGTGCTTTTTTTTTCTTTGCTTTTTTGGAGATGGAATTCATTTAATTGAGGTTTCCTTGGTTTGATTTTCCAGCATCAGTGTTAAGTCATTGAGGTGAACAGTAACAATGATTTGCTACTTTTAAAAATCAGAATTAGGAAGGATCAAGCTGAGCCAATCAGACTGTTTGGTTTGTTATCATTAACCAACAAGCCACTCAATTATTCTGCCCAAGTGATTTAGTTGCACACACTCAGTTCTCAGTGACACTTAGTGACACCAGGTTTTCTTCCAAATAGTGAATATTTAGTTGGGTAGAACAGAAAAAGTGGATTTTTACAAAGTTTACAACGTTAAGAATTGGTATTTACTCAGGTGAGCCTTTCCTGTGAGTAATTCTGTTGTTAGAGTAAAACCCAGAGGCAGAGGGGTTTTCTGTAATTCAGAATTCTGGATGTTCAATGCAGCCAAGGTTTTATTTCCTGGTCACCACTGTGCCTGGGAAGTGTCAGCAGGTTTCACAAGAAAACCCAACCAAACTCTTCATTTGGATTTCTTACCCATCTCAAAAAGCCAAACCATCACTTTTCCAAAAACTGTAGCATCTAAAATCCCAATTGCCCATTTGCTGCACTGCCACAAATGAAGGGTTTCTACCCCAAAAACTGTGTCAGCTCATGGGGAGGGAAGTGCAGCTCCCAAATTTCTGTGCAATTGTCACAAGCCTCTATTTTTCCTTCTTGCAGGAAAGCATTTCCTCAGTTTACATGCAAGAAAAAACCACAGGGAAGATTAATTCAGATGCTGAGCATCAAGACTGAGAATGCCCTACACTGGATGTATATCCCTGATTTCCAGCACCTAAACTCCCCTGGATTTAACAGGAAAAATCAGGAATTCTGGACAAGCAAAGGAATGTGAGTCAACTTTTCTTAATCATTTGGCTAAATATAATTAACCATCTCTGAGCCACAACCATCTAAGAAAGATGATGAGGAGGTTTCTCTGTAGCTCATTAATGGGAATACTTGGATTGTTTATTTATCAGGAGTAAAACTATTTAGGAATTAATACCTGAATAATAGTTTTAATATTATTTTACAGCTGAGCATTGTTGGAGCTGTTAATACTGAATTGTTCCCTGACTGTTCACTGTGCCCATTGTTCCACACAATAACGAGGGCAGGGAGGAGGTAAAGAGAGTCTTCCAGAACGTTGGTTGTCACTTCATTTCTGGTGTCTTGAAGGTTTAAAATCAAGAGCTGCAAACCTGGGGGTAGAGGTTGGAACTCAGGAGCTGGAAATGTATTTGCTCTGGGGGAGGAGCACGGGGTAGTTTGGGTGGTTTTGGAGGGGAATTTTGTGTTGCAGTGGCTGTGGTTTGGTTTTTGGAGGGTTCCTTTGTTAGCACCACTCAAACAGATTTATTCTGACTGGAGTGAAAGTCAGGCTGGTTTGCTCAGGAGGAACAGCCTGAGAGAAAACACCGCCTGGAAAATGCAACATTTTATCTCAGACAAACCTCCCGTGCTGGGAGGAGTCAAAGCACAATTTGTTTCAAAATCACATTAAACCACCAAGCACATTTTGGATACCACAACTGTGGCTCTGATATTTAGTATTTGAAGAACATCTCACTAGTTTCACTCGAGTGGCAGCATATTTTTTATAACATGTCAGCTTTTGAGGCTTTTAAAGACCCATAAAAGGAAGTTTTCTTATTGAGCCCGCAATCTTTGAGTGGTGCTGGGGATCAGCAAACCTTACTGGAACCCCAACATAATAACAGTCATCTTGTAACTTCCTAATACTGTCAATAAGTACATTTAATTTGCCTATTAAATTAACTGATTAAATGAATTAGTTTGCAGCTTTAGAGCATTACATAATTCCATGTCATTTAAGTGATCTCTGAGGGCAGAGTGATCAGAACATTTAATTTAAGTTTGTCAAGCATCACAAGATTAATGGTGATGGAGCAGGATTATAGAAAATACTAAATACTACTTTACTAAATGATACTCCTCCTCCTCCACTAAATAAAATCTAATGCAAACATCATGAATTTCGGATTAAAACAGTTACAGCAGGAATGTTTCATTTCATGACGCTTGGCTTTGGGGTGTTTTTTTTTCCCCACTCTGACAAAATAGTAGCTCTCACTTTTTCAGCAGGAGTACAGTAAGGAATGGCAAAAATAAATGCTACATTTGTGTAGCTTCAATTTTCCAGGCTGGTAATTTCAACTGGACTTTGCTTTGACCCATATTCCCTCCTCACATAAACTTTGCCCATGAATTCCATTCTCCATCCATGGTTTTTGGAAGCTTTATATTCTTGTAACCTCGTTATTCTCCTGCAGACAGGACTGTAATACAGCTCTTTTAAGCCACAACAGGTTGTTTTGGGATTTTTTTCCCCACAATTCCATGTTATTTCTGTCATTACTCGATGCTTGCAGCCCTCTCTCATTTTTACCCTTCGGTTTTACCAGATGGTGATTCTACAGGAGAGGAAAAAAAAGTACCAAATACTCAACTTGCTGCTCTGCCTTCAAAAAAAAAAAAAGTGTTATAAACTCACTGGGAAATATGAAAGTCAAGTAATAAATGCACATATAAAAATCTACAATGTCACTACTGTGCAAAGAGGAGGAAAAACTTCTAGTGAGCCTGTTCTTCAGCTGTTTGCTCAAAACTGCTCTTCTGCACTCTGGAAAGAATTTCAAAGTAGCTGTTTGCACATCTGCCTGATTCGGGAAGCTTTTTTAAGGCCATTCTTGTGTTTGACACGAGCACAACTGAGGTGTAAATGCAGAGTCACTCTGGAGTTCGGGGCAGTGATGGCAGTGTCAGCTGCAGGGTCTGACTGCACATTGCTGGGGTTGTACCCAGACCCACACTGCCCCCAGCACAGGAATCTTCTCCTTCCCACATTCCCTGCTTTCTGAGGGATCTGGAACAACCCTCTCTATTCCCCAGCCAGCACAGGGTTTTTAGAATCCCATTTATAATCCCACCTGGTGCTCCAGTGCTGGGGGGTCTCCTCAGGAAGAGCCCCCAGCAGTTGGGAATGTGTGGGAATCTCAATCCGCTCTCCCTCATCTCCTCCCCAAACACTGTGAGTGAGTCCCAGGTTATTTCCCCAAAGCAGCAGGTGGAAAACTCCCTGGAACCCTGCCCTGTCCCCAAGTGCCATTCCTTCCAGTGCTCCCATCTCTTTAACAATTCCCAATTTTTAATAAAGACCCTGAGAGGTTTTTGGCCCCTCAAGGTCAGCCTGTTCAGGAGTCACTGTCATTAATTATATCATTATAACAATGCTCAATAATTGTCTGTTCCGAACTAAAAGCACAGAACCATTTGTTAAAAACATGGAACAGGGTGGGAGAACTGAAGGAGCACAAAAGCGACAAACTCCTCCTGGTTTATGTTGGCAGCACCCCCTCTGTGAGCAGAACCATTTCAAACCCAGATTTATTCCCATCGGTGAGTTCAGGCACTGAATTTGGAGTTGTGACACTAAATGAGGAGTTGGAGAACATTTTCTGCCTTCCCACAGGTGTTTTCTGTACTGTTACTCACAGAAGTCAGCAGCAGTTTGAGTTGAATATTTTCACTTTGGCATCAAAACTCAGCTTGGCCTGAGCTTTCGAATTGTAACCTAAACCCACCAAAATCAGCAGAAAAAAACCCTGAAAAATAGGGGTTGAAGTGGGGAGAAGGAAGCAAAAAAAAATGTAAAGCAGTGTTGTAAAAAGCAAATATTTTCCATTGGGTAATGCTAACTGTGCTTGCAAGATAAAATCAAGGACCTAAAGGTGTTGTTACCACATGTAGGACACGTTCTCTTACAACTTATTCTTTAGTTCTAACCAGGGAATGTCGTGTCCCACACCCAAGCCAGCCTTTGATAAGCCTTAGCTAACATTTTTTGCCCAAAATCTATAGTAGAGGTGAAGTATTTTAAATCATTCCCTACTGACAGAGTCAAAAATCAGAGAATTATAATTGATTTTAAATGAGAAATACTTGGTGTCAGGTTAAGCTCAGTTTAATTAAATTATTAGTGTTGCTATTAAAAAAAAAAAAAAAGGAGTAAAAGCTAAATAAACCTGTTATTTATCCCTTTTATTTTAAATAATTAGAAAAACATTAGAGGGGAAAAAAGGGCAATTCTGGGGACAGCAGTTCAGGCTTAGATAGTCTCATTTACATCTAATTTTTTTAGGATTTGGGGTTTAAAGTCCTGCTGTCATTCTGTGGAAAACATTGCTACATTTCCCACCTGGAAATATGCAATTTTGAAGGATCAAATCAGTGGATTTTCACATTAAAAAGGCACAAAACCTGCTGTACAAAGAGAAAGGACTTTCCCTCAGACAGAAAGATTGCAGAAACAGAAAATCTCTGTTCCTGAGACAACGAGTCTGGTGGGATGAAATTAAAAAATAATAGTGGGAATCATTTTTTTATGCCTTAAAACTGGCTTTACCTCCCCCCTGTTTCCCTTTTGTAGGGGTGGAAAGCATGAAACTCCAGCTTGTAGGAAAAGGTGTGTTCCCCTCATTCCTGGGAAATAATTAGTGGGAGAAAAAAAAAAATCACATTTGGGGAAAAAAAAATAAAATAAATTATAAAAAGTAACATTCCTTCCTAAATGTTCTCCAGCACTGAGCTTTGTCCCTGCAACCTCATTCCTACCCAGCTTCATCTTTCACTTCACATTCTCTCCCTTCCAGAAATTTTGGCACAATGATCCTTCAGAACAACTGTGTGAAAAACAAAACAAAACCAAACCAAACCAAAAAAAAAGGGTGTATTTACTACAGTTTTTTTCTTGGAGGTAACTTCTTACTCCATCTTGAGAGAGAAAATACAGGGATAAAGGGGTGGAGGAAATAAAGAACTAGCAGGGAGATTTGCAAAGAGAAATCTCCTCTTTTTGTGGGTGTTGCTGTGAGAAAGGCCGGCACAGAGAGGCTGGAGGAAGTGAAGCAAGCACAGCTACAAGCTTTTTATATTTTTTTTTTTTTTTTTTAAAGAGAGGAACTGGAAGGTCTTTTGATAGAAAGAGGCCTAAAAGAAATTCTGTTAAAATATTTCAGACCTTGGGAGGCTCTCACTGATTTCTAGGCCAGAGGAGATTTGGGACCTGTGAGTGGTGAAATAATTACAGGTAATTGCAGAAATAGTTATTTAATTTAATTAATATTTAAATACTTCCAGCAAGTACTTCATTTACATTTCAACTAAATGTTTGGCACGTGGCAAAATTCTCATTATCTGAAAATTAGGAAAAAAAAAAAAAAAAAAAAAAATCAGTGTGGTTCTCTTCAGCCTGCCTTTAAAACAGAAGCAAGCCAGCCTCCCAATCTTAAGGTCAAAGATGAATATAAATGATATTATATTGACAAATTCTGTGATTATTTTTCCCAGCATGGGCTGCAAACTGGAGCTTTGAAAACCAGAGCCTGAACTGGCTACAAACCTGCCCTTCCTTGAGTCCTTTGCAGCAGTTCAAGTGTAAACAGCAGGCACACCACCCATGTTTTTCCCTGCACAGGTCATTTTTCCATACTTACTTCCCAGCAAAGCCACACAGGAGCTGCAGATGGGAGCACAACCATCAGGCACCACCAAGCTGCTGACTCTCTGCCACGCTGAAGCAGCACAATAATATTGGGGTTGCAGGTTGATTTGACCACACCAATATTTACGTGCTGCTAGGGCGGAACAAGCAGGGCTCTTCCATCCATCCGCCGGGCAGGAACACACCTTTGTGAGCAGCAAAAGTGCCAGCAGGACCTTCCAGCGCTTCTGTGCCTTGAATTTCTAAAGCAGCAGATAATGATTCGCATCTGCAGCAGAGCATGCAAACCATGATGTGCTGCTACAGGACTTTAAGGCTTCCAGAACAAACTCAGACAGGATTTTTTTTTTTTTGAAGGGGGGGGGGGAATATAATTTTAAATTGGTTTTTATTCATCCACCAACCTGTAAAATTAAGAACCTGTTATGATCCAGGTCGATGCCGTGGCTCCGGAGCAGAATTCCAACATCTTTGTAAGTCTTTTTCTTGCCGTTGATGTGGTAGACAGAGGAGTTGTCTCTATAGGCAGTTCGAGACACATAGAATTTGCTGTCAGGAACGACTTCATAATCATCCCCTTCCTGTTTTGGGGAAACACAAAGCCAGAGAAGCAATTGCTCTATCAGTGCATTTACCTCATATTTCACAATGGAGCAGAGAAGTTTCATCATGTGCAGGTTTTAAGTCAGCTGGGCTCTGAGATGTGCTACCAGTGGGAACTGTTTTAGAGCTGCATCTCAAAAAAAAAAAAAAATTAAAAAAAAAAACAAAACCAAAAACAACCTTGGAGAACTGGACAAAAAAATACCCAAACTGTTTAAACTGAATTGCCCTCATCTTGTGCCTTTCCCACCTCTGATGAAGATACTGCTCTGCAAACCCTTCGTTGCTTCTCTCTAGCACTGCTCCCAATCCCAGAGGAAAAGGGCCAGTTAAAATGCAGGGAGGCTGTGCCATCCCACCCTGGAAGGCTCAGCTTGGGAAGCCCTGAGTGCCTCGACTGCTGTTTGCATTTTCAGCCCTTCTTTTCCCAGGGCTTGGGAAAGGAGCTGCTTGGAGCTGAGCAGCTCTAAAGAGAAAGTGGAGAAGATAAAAAAGGCAAACGTGAAAGATGTGACAAACATGACATCAGCAGCTGCCAAAGAGAGCTTCGATGCACCTCCAAAGCTGCAACCCAAAGAAAGCTGGGACTGGGCTTGAAAAAGTGAAAACTGCTGCAAGCTGCTTGTAAAAGATTTCAACTGGCCTGCCACTTCCCCACATTAACCCCCAGAGCTCTCCAAGTGCTCTCTGGCACATGCAGAGGGCTTTGAGATCAGAAAGTTGGTTTCTAGATGGTAATACAAAGGCAAGTGGGGGGGAGGGGGAAAGAAGAAATGTAATCATTTTTGGAGCTGGTTATTTAGAAACACACCCCTTTTGGTTTTGTTTATATATGTCAAGTCAAAAGAAAAAAATAAATGTCTTTTAAAACTGTTCACTCAAAGGCAATGAATATTGTCACTTTATTAACACCATTTTTGAAATTTCAAAGTACACTTCCCACTGTTTTCACTGACCCCCAATTAAACAGTTTAGTTTTCTGCACAAAAATTCAATTTAAATTAAGAGAAATAAATTCCCTGTACTGCAATTGCAATAAATCAACAAAAATAAGCCCTGAAGTTTTTATCAATACCCGAAGTGACAAGCAAAATAAATATTTTTTTTAAATTGCCAACACTTTCTAATTTCATTGAAACAAAATATCAGGTTCAAAAAAAATTTAGTGCTAGGGTGTGGGATCCAGAATTTCTGAAGAAAAATCTGCTTTAAAATTGCAGGCATGTTTACAGTACATAAAGTGTAAATAAGTTTCAGATTCATTATATATCTTTCTAAATTTGGATAACCTAAAATAGTTTCTAATTGGTTTCAAGAGTTTGGCTTAAATAGGTTTTATTTCTTAATACACATGCTCATATTATAAATTTAGGAATATATGTAACATGTCTAAATATATAGACTTATAAAAATTTTAGGGCTCCTTTTAATTGCAGAAATGAGTTTTATTTACTTGAGGTAAATGAGATGACAAGTCTAAAACGACTTCTTCTTAAAATGGTTATTACATATTCCTAAATAGCTTTAAACCAGACATTTACCACCCAACAGTCCTGCAGAAAATAAAAAAAGAATCCCTGCTAGTAATTTAAGAGCTGCACCACTCAATAGAGGATTTTTTAAAGTTAATTAACACTGATGGTTTACATCCCCAAGGTAAACTAATCACGCTCTGAAGTTTCCCCCCAGCTCCAACTAAAATAAGCAAAGAGTCAAAGTTTTCAAAGCCTTAGAGGGGATAAAAAGGCTCCGATTTGGTGCCTCGCAGCACACCTACCTTGTCAATGATCTTTTGGAAGTGAACCTCCACCGTGCAGCTCGGGATGTCCGTGTGCTCGTCCGAGTTGTGGATCAGCACCGACAGCTTTTTGGAGCGGATTTTTTGGGCTCGGTAGCCGAAGACAAAAAGCAGGGAGTCAATGATGTTGGATTTGCCACTGCCGTTCGGGCCGACAATACACGAGAAACGCTGCCCGGGGGAAGGGAAGAAGCAGAAGTGGTGGTGAGGGGGGAGGAGATGGTGCCCGGAGCATTCACCGGTGCGTTGGGAGCGGCTCAAACCCCGTGCTGGGGGTCTGAGAGCTCAGGCTGGGCTGCCAAAGGTGAGGCAGAACAGCTTCAGAAACCCCCCCCCCAGCTCAGCTGAGCTCAGCCCTCTGCATCCGAGCTGCTCTTGGCCAGCATGTTCGCAAGGAAAGTTTCATGATTAGCCACGTAAGTCTCTTGTGGGCACTAAAAAAATATTCTCATTCTTCAAACGCGGCCCTAAAAGTTCCCCAGCAAACGAAATCAAGAGCAAAGGGGGCTTTTTTAAGTTGTGCTGACAAATTTAAACTGTGCAGGATCAGAAAGTGGCACTTAACTGTTTTCTCTACTGTCCAATAATGAAAATTTAGAATATTGCTACAGAAGCATTTCTAAAACTTAAAGTTCTTTCAGTTCTTTTGAGGTCAGCACACATGAAAATACAGCAAGGAATACCAACACCCAGCCAAGCTTTACCCTCATTTTAAAAAAATCACTTTAAGGGAAAAGAAAGATACCTTATGAAAAGGTCCCAGAATTTTCTCCCCTGCATAGGATTTGAAGTTCTGGTTTACAACGTGAGTTATCATGAGCCGAGGAGCACCGGGTTCATTGGTCATTGCTGGAGGTGGGGGAGGAGGGATGCTACCCAAAATCTCTTCTAAACTTCGAGTATCCACCACCTCCTCTGACACTGCTAAAAACCAGCCGAGTTAAACAGAAAGGGAAAAAAAAAAAAAAAAAAAAGACTCTCAGTGACTATGACACCTTTTCATATGTTCAGCCGAAAAAGCAAACATCACCTCTATAGGAACCAAACCTCCACTTTGGCCTGCAATTATTGACACGAGCTAAGTGGAATTAAAATCCTTCTTTCCACCAACTGAAGGTTTTTTAAGAGATACTTCAGATGTCCCAGCGATGCACTGGGGGGGGGTTGTTCCTTCATTATGTAATTCTTATTCCAACCCACTTTATCAGGCACTCCGCAGTTACAGCAGCTCCAACCAGCACAATAAAGGCTGCAAATCCCAACCAGGCCAAGTCTTTTCTAATTAATAAGTGCAAAGCCACATTTCAGGCGTGCTCACGAGTCCCTCTGCAAGGTTTGGGGAGCTGTGCACGAGGCTCTGAAAGCTGTAATGACAGCACAACTGCTCTGCAAAGACAGGAAGTTTGTTACGAAAACAAACTGGCCCCCTGGATATCAGCAAAGCAGCTTTTCAACAGCCACCGGCAGCTCCTTCTTCCAACAGGCAGCAGTTTTTGCCACTCATTTCAAGATATTCATCTATTTGTCAAGTACCTTCCTTTAATAACTGCACATCTGGCTACCTAAAAAGTCCCACAGCTGCTGTTGGGCCAGATTTTTTCTGCAAAAACTCAACTCGAGGAACTCAAGAAAATACACTGCTTCACGAAAAAGAAAGTCAAATCATTTTAAGAGTTAAGTAAATAAACTTGACATTTATTCCGTTCCAAGAAATCCCATACCATTGGCTGCCTATAAATTTGAAAAATCCTGCTGTTGTACCACAATCTTCAGCACAATGTTCCAGATCAGGAATATGAAATAGGCTTTATTAGGAGAAAGTCTACAAATTGCTTTTGCACTTGTACCGGGCCAAACCTTTTAACTCTTTGCAAGCCCTTTTTTTACAATTTTAAAAGCACTTTAAACAAGGCTTTCAGCCTTCCTTTGTAAAAGGGAACAACTGGTAAATTCAGCTGCTGCTAAAAGGCTCTGCCACCTCCTCACATCAGCACCGGCAGCCAGACCTACCTTGAGGAGCACCTTTGTCAAGCTGCTTGTTGCCTTCCTTTTCCACTTCCATGTCACTGCAGGACTCGTCCAAGGGCTCCCTGCCCTTCCCACGGGCTGCTGTGGAGGTTTTGGTGCTCTTGCTTGCCATGATCCCTGTTGGCCGCTCCCCTTCCACTGCAAGCACTCAAACTACCGACGGGTATCTCCTTTGCTAACACAAACAAGAGAACCCCGTGATCTCAGCACTGATCTACAGCCCCCAAGGAATTTTACCTACAGGTCTGTCCAGCTGTTTGACTCACTTGGAAACTAAGGACTAGAGGTGTTGAAAAGACAAAAATATCCACGTCTGAAACAAGATATCAAGATCAGGATATACTTTCAGATACAGTACCCCCCAAAATCCACGGGATAAGCCTAGTCTGTAAAAACACCCCGAATCTACCTGCTGAAAACTCGCAGGGACACGTTCAGAGCTGGGACTTTGCTCAGAGAAAGTCCCCGTGATGCTGGGGGCAAAAGGGTTAAAGACACATTCGAATAACAAACCCAGTAGCCACATGTTTGTGCTCCCCTGGAAGAACTCTTTACATTTCAGAGCCGACACTCGTTTTACTTTCAATAAATCCGTGCTAAATATTTATACATCAGTACACAGATAAACAAAAGACCCGTGCAATTATAGCGAAGATCGGACTCTTAAACAACTTAAATCAACACACTTATCTCACAAAACACAACACGGCCACTCCTGCCAGCATTCAACGTTTCCCAGAGAAAGCAAAACGAAATACCTTCATCTAGTTGGGATGTTAAAGTTAACTGAGCAAGAGCGAGTGTTACAAAAGCCATCAGCTGGCACTTCAGCACAGCTCCCCGAACGGAGAAACAGAAAGCACCCGAGGAGAAGAAAAGGCGAGGGCAGGAGCGAAGCTCTCCCCAAAGAGCTGAAATCGCAGCAAGTGGCGAAGTGAGTTTGCAGAAAAAAAACAGACATGAGAAAGTTTACTTCTCACAAGATAAAAAAAAACTGACGTGGTTCGAAAGTCATCTTACAATTGGTGCCAATCATTTGACGTTTGCAGACCTACCCCCAACCCACACTCTCATGAGAGCCCTTCATCTGGGACAATGGGGGAGGGGGGGAAACGAGAGACACAACTCATTTTCGGGCGATTTGAGCCCATGCCCCCGTTCAGAAGTGTTCAGCAATGGCTGTCTCGGACAATTACAGCCTCTCAAAGCACCACATTTATTTATTATTTTTTTTTTCCGCCCAGACCGCTCCACTCCAACAGAATTGTGCAATATAGACCTATTTACCTTCCCAACCCTTCCCCCCCTCCCCACCCCTCAGATACTTCAACGGAACGAACAAGCCGAACTACTTGACCTCGAGCTTTTACATCTCGATAAATCAGCTGCCACATAGTCTCCAACAAATTTAACAAATTCGTGCCCAACCCCTCCCCCGGGCCAGCTCGAAGGTGTTTGGTAAAAGCATCTCTCCATGGGCTCCTGCCAAGCGCCGTTTTTCTGACGGGGATGGCGAGGAAAAAAAAAAAAAAAAAAAAAAAAAAAAAAAGAGCCAGGGACGGGTAGAAAAGCTTCCTTAATAACAGCCGATTAAATCTGATTGCGACAACCCCCTGTCAGGGACAAACTCGGGGCTTTTTTTAAGCCCGACTGCGCCCTTATCATGCTCTTTCCAAGTGGCAGAATATCCCGAGTTGGAAGAGACCCGCAAGGACCGTCGAGTCCAACTCTTTTAAGTGAACGGCCAGTCGTTAAGGGCTTCCTTAAGGTTTCTCTCTCATCCTTCAAGCATCAAAGCAGAGCTGGCTGCAGAAGGGTCTCTGCTCTAAGCAGATTAAAATCGGGTCTCTCCGCTACTCAGAGGCGTTCCCGTCCTCGGCCAGGTCTCCGAGGGTCCCCAGGGGCACAGCGAGACCCTCGGGCCGCACAGCCCCGGTGTGACCCCCCCTCCCCAAACCCGACAGCAGCCGGGATGGCCCCGCCGAGGCTCTCCCCGAGGGCTCCAGGCTCGGCGCTGCCGCCTCTTCTCCTCCCTCAGGGCCAGGGGGAAGTGGGAAAGGAAGGCGCGGGGCAGAACCCGCCGCCCCCTTAGCACCCCCTGCCCTTCCCCTCAACCACCCCTATCTTCCCTCTCAGCACCTTCTCCTCAGCACCCCATATTCCCCCTCAGCACCCCCGTTTTCCCCTCCAGGAGCCCTGTCTTCCCCCTCAGCACCTTCCTCAGCACCCCCTACCCTTCCCCTTAGCATCTCCTTCCCTTGCCCTCAACAACTCCTGTCTCCCCCTCACCATTTTCCCCTCAGCACCCTCAGGCCGGCGCAACCCCCCTGAGGGCACCTCCTCCGCCGCTCTGCCCCCGCGGGCGAAGCCCGCCCGACCCCGCCGCCCCGAGGGCGAAGCGCCGCCGCCTCCTCCCGCCGAGCTCGTACCTGCTCGTCCCGGCGGCTCCCGGCCCCGGCGAGGCGGCGGCGGCGCGGGCAGCCGCGGCTGCTCTGGAAGCTCGGCCGCTTCCACACTCGAAAATGGCGCCGAAACGGCGAACTCGAACCGAAATTCGTTAGAAAAGCGCGGGGCAGGCTGGGACGGGAGGGGCCGGGCCCGGGGTTTGAACGGCACCGCCGCCCCGCCCGCCATCTTGTGTTCGTTACCGCGGGCAGGGCAGGGCAGCGAGCCCCGGACACGCCGGGAGCGGCCGCCCGGGGGCGAAGCCGGCCCGAAGGGAGGCGTTTCGGGGGGTCGGGGGGGACGCGACCCCCGCGGCCCGCTCCCCGCGCGGAGAGGGTTTAGCTTTAATTTTGGAAGTAGGTCAGTGGGCGGCGCTCGGTTGCCGGGCGACGCGCGCCGGTTTAAAAATGGTTAAAAAAAAAAAAAGAAAAAAACACCACAACTGTAAAAGAACTTTTAAAAGTAAAACAAAACAACAAAAAAATTAAAAAAAAATCAATAAAAACGGCGGGCGCTCGGCGTTTTTGAAGCGGGTTTTACTAATGAGCAGGCGGCGCCGTGGCACCTCGGGGGGGTGGGGAGGGAGGGAAGGGGGGGCTGTTCGTGAGGTGGCGGAGGGCGAGGAGGAGGAGGAGGAGGAGGAAGAAGATGATGATGATGATGATGATGATGATGATGATGATGATGGAGTCTCGCGAGAAGTCGCCATAGAGACGGCGCCGCTTGGGCGCGGGGGGAGCGGGTCCCGCCGCTCCCGAGGCCACGGGAGACGGGCGGGAGAGGCGGGATTATCCCGGGAGACGGCCGAGAGAGGCGGGATTATCCCGGGAGACGGCGGCAGCGGGGTCCAGGCCCCGCTGCCCGCGCAGGTGAAGGCGGCCGCCGGCCCCTGTCAGCGGCAGGACTGAGTCACCCTGTGCGGGGCGAGGGGACGGGCACCGGGACCCCCCGAGGGCGGGAGAGCTCCGGGCACGGCGAGGTGAGTGAGGGCTGGGGAGCCCCGAGCCCGGCACTGCCCGGGGCTGCTGGAAAATCTGCCGCTTGGGAAGCTGGAAACGGGGGGAAAACGTCCTGTTTAGAGCCGGCTGTGGGGGCCGAGGCTGCCCCGAAGGGTGGGTGTTTCCTTCCCGGTGCCCCTCCGCTGGTTTGGCTTCCCTGCGTTCCCCCCCCTAATCCTGCTCTCTGGAATTCTTTCCCTGCGCTCCCCCCGCAGCTCTCCTCTTTGGAATTCCTTCCCAACCCTGCTCTCTGGAATTCCTTCCCTGCGCTTCCTCGTTCTGCCTGCCCGCTGGTTTTCCTTGCCTGCATTCCCGCTATCCTGCTCTCTGTGCCATTCCCTGCGCTCCTCTCTCCCGCTCCTGCTCCCTGTCCTCCCTCATCGCTGCTCCCGATCTCCTCCTGTCCCGGCATCTCCGGAGGCAGGAGGCGGGTTTTGGCGTCTCCCAGCCGGAATAACTCGCGGTTATTGCCCCATCTCTCCTAAACGTGGAGCGGAGCCGCTGCTGGATCCCTCGGGAGCTGCGTGGAGTGATCCGTGGGATGGCTGGTGATGGATGTCCCTGTGGGTGGCAGCGGCACGTACAGAGCGATTAAACCACATTCAAAAATGACAGTAAAGTCCTGGGCTTGTCTCTGGAAGGAAAAATGTTATTTGCCCTTCTGTCCATCCTCCTGGCTGTGTGTCATCTTAAAGGTCCTTTCCAACCTTAACAATCCAAGGATTCTCTGCTCCCAGTATCACTTTTTCTTTGAGTTGTCCACTCAGTTTATACTAAGCAGTAAGATAATTTTACAGCTGGATACTGTAGGAAAAAGGTCTGTTTTTTTCCACAGTACTAATATATAATTACTTCAGAACTTTTTATTTTAATGTTAATGTCTTCAATTTTAATTTTGGCTGCTTATATATGCGTATATATGATGCTGCTTACACGTATATGTATTTGTTTTCTTGTATTGCAGTTCTAACATATGGCTTTTAATGTTCCACCTGAACGACTGAGATGAGACTGAAGATTTCTCTTCTAAAGGAGCCGAAACATATCCTTTGGCACAGAAAAAAAATGTTCGTTCTGAATAGATTCTTTTCCAGAAAATATTTCTTTATTTTTTTTTATCACTGTAAATTGCAAGTGGCTTTTTGGGTTTTTTTCTTTTCCTCCCCTTGTCCTTCAGTGCAGCCTTTAAGGACAATGTTTTAAGAGATATTGAGTATTTTTGGAGTAATAAGTTCACTTTGGGAGCTCTCAGGGTTTTGGTAGGAAGGTTTTGAGTTTTCCTTCTTATTTGTAGTGACAAGTTAAAAGCTTTCCCAGAGAGCAAAGGAGAGCAGTGATTTATTTACCTGCATATAGCAGATATAAACAAAACTGTGACTTTCCTATTAATATATTGGATATATAGCGATTTATAATTTCTGTGTTAATAAACCAACACTTTTAAATGACAGCTGGGTGTTTTGCTCTGGCATTGTGCACTCAGACCCTTCTAAAGGTGTAACCCAACATTTCAGCCGTGTTTCAATATCTCAGCATCATCACAGTAATTACATTTTCACATGAGAGTTTGCTTTATTTTTGGGTGAGTTTCATGCCACAAAAGAGCACAGAAAAGAAAGAAGACTCGTAGTATTTTTACCAGTTAAAAGATTGGTATTCCTTAACTGAGTTGCACATAAGGAAGTGGTGAGCTGTGTGGGATGGACCACGGCTGACGAGCTCTACTCCTGCAGCGACGACCACCAGGTGATGAGATGGAACCCCCTGACGAGCGAGACCGCGCGCGTGGTGAAGCTGCCCGAGGATCTTTATCCCATCGATCTCCACTGGTTTCCCAGGAGCGTCGGTGGCAAGAAGCAATCCCACGCTGAGAGCTTCGTCCTGACGAGTTCTGATGGTAGGGCAATGGAAATTGTCTGTCATTTCACACCCCACCCGGTGTTTCTGTCCCTCAGGTACACGGGGTGTTGTTTTGGGAGCAGGGAGGTTGGAGGATTCCTTGTGGGGGGGTGTTTTCCCTGCTCCTCATAAAGACCAGGAATTGATTTTGCTCACAGCCACCTTTTTCTTCCTGCCTGAATTTTCCTGCAGCAGCAAATCCCTCTCTGGGATCAGCATTCCTGGAAACTCCCTGAATCCCATGGAAAAGGAGGATAATTGCATTAATTCATGTTTGAGCTCCAGATGTTTGTGAAATTAGAGCAAATGTAAATTTAACCCTCGTGGGTTTTCTTCTGGGATGCTTCTCTTGGGGGACATTGTTCTTTTGACTTCCCACTTACACCGATCTCGCTGCTGCTTTTTTTTTACCAAAACAATATGCTCAGCCTTAAATTGCAAATTAAGCACGAATCATGAGTGATTAGGCCCATTTTTTCACTTTTTATTGATAGTTTTACTCTGGGTCGGCATTTAAGAGTCTGTGAGAAGTCATGAAGAAAACATCCATGTTTTATATTCCGTGTTTGAATGGGGTGTGAAAAAAATCCTGAAATTCCTCCAAAATGGAGAGTCACTGTCAGATCGAGGCCACTTCTACCTTCAGTGCTAACTCTTCCCCTGCAAGGCTGCAGTTTCCCTGTTGGAAAGGCGCCTTGGGAAAGAAGCAGGAGTGGGAAAAGATGCAAAAAATTGGTCAAAGAGTTGGATGTTTCCCTGTATAAAGGGATTTTATCCCAGACTTTGGGACGTGCCTGTTGTTTTCCTGATAATTTGGCCTCACCAAAACCTTCAGGCCCTTGGCAGCTTCCTCCTCTTCCATCTGAATTTAGTTTTATGTGTTGAGGGGTTGCTTAAATTTCATTTCTCAGGGATTCTGCCTCGGCCAGCAGAAGCTGTTGCTTCAGTGTCTAAAATGCCATGGAATTCCTGATATCCTTAAAAAAGGAATGGCTGGGAAGAGCATGGTGATGGCATGAGAACATTCGTGTCATATCAGGTTTAATTATTCTGCAGTGCCAAAGGTCTTGGCTATAGATGGACCAAGTAGAGAAAATAAATCATGTTTTTAATGTATTAATTGAAGGCCATTTTAGCTACTTAATGGGAGGAAACACCATTGAATTCCTCTGAATCCAGGTATTACTTGTGCATGGAAAATGAGATTCTCAGACCTGAGAGGTGATCTGTAAGTGATGCACTAACTAGATAAGATATATTTGATAATTCTACAATAATGGAAGGCTTTAAATTAACCCCCTGGAAGTGTCCAAGCCCAGATGGGGCTTGGAACAACCTGGGATAGTGGAAGGTGGAATGGGATGAGACTTAAGGTCCCTTCCCACCCAAACCATCCTGTAATTCTGTATTTGAAATAGAGGAACAAAGTGATTTATCCAAACCATACTTTTCCCATCAGTGCCAAAAATCTTTTCCTGGGAAATCTGGCACTGCCACAGATTTATTTGGATGATGGTGCTCTTTTGGTAAAAAGCAGAGTGTGATTGCATTGATTTGTGGAGAGCCCAGGGGTTTGTTTAAGTGACAGAGCCACCAGAATGCTTTTCCTTGGCTTTACCTTGGCTTTATTTGTTAGTTTTGGGATGCTGTGTTTGTCCCAAAGTTCTGGGTGCTCTGGAACTTCCCTGTAGGGCTTTGCTGGCTGGGAGGTTAAACCAAATAACCTTAAAATCACTGCATTTTTAAGCACCTCATTTGAATCCCTGGGCTGGTTTAAGCCACTCTTATTATATATAGGTATAAAATCACACACACATAAATTTATATAAATTATAAATGCTTTTTATATCTTTAGGGAAGTTCCACTTGATTTCCAAGTTAGGAAGAGTGGAGAAAAGTGTGGAAGCACATTGTGGGGCTGTGCTTGCAGGAAGGTGGAATTATGAGGGAACAGCACTGGTGACAGGTGAGCATTTGGACATTCCTGAAGTGGTTGGAAACCTAAAATAGCAGAAGAGCCCTTTCAAAATCAAACCTTCTGGGATTTTTTATATTTTTTTAATATTTCATGGCTTAAATTGTAGTTACATTGAATTTGGATGAATAAAACTGAGTCTTAATTGTTCACACCCTGCTTGAAATTCTGTGAGAAAGGAGAAAATGGGAACACAAAATCAGCAATAAAAACGAAGTTCCTTTTTTTTTTGGTCTTAATTATCACTGAGGTTGTTCTCACCTTGTTTAATAGAAGTTAATTTTGCACTGATTAATTCTATTTTAGATTAACATTGTCTATTTTAACTAATAGAAGATCTGATAAAAAAAATTCCTCTTTTTCAGTGATCCTATTTATTAAATATCACCCTATTTACTCAAAAGCAAATGTTTTTAATATCAGAGTGCTCAGATGGTTTTGTGCCTGTTCTGAACTTTGTAAAGGAGAACATTTGATTTATTTTTCTCTATCTTTTTTTTTAAAAAAAAAAAAGGCTGCTAAGTTGGTTCATTTCTATCCCTGCACATTTGGGAGGTTTTTAAGCCAACAGAGTTTCCCGAGGCCTCAGGAACATCTCAAAACTTCCATTTTCCTCCTTGATTATCAGGAGTGGTGGAATTATCATCTGCAATCCCCCAGGGATAGAAATTTACCTCAGGAACTTCCCCACAGGAAAAATCAAAAACTGCCTTTTCAAAGTTGCCTTTTGAACTCTTTATTTTGTTGGGTTTTGGGGTTTTTTTGAGACTGGAGTGTGGGAATTCATCTCTTAATCACAGAAGAGACTTGTTCATCGTAACAAAATCACCACCCTAAATATTTTTGTCCTTAATATATTTCCTATTTCCGTGATTAGAAGGTTAAATAAAAGGTATTTACCTGTAAAATCTGGATTTCTTTTAACTCAAACGTTTCTTAGGGAGAGATACAAGCACCATGATTGTTAATTATTGCACTGAAAATGGGATGATTTCTCTGCTCATTTCCAGTTGGTGAAGATGGCCAAGTGAAAATCTGGTCGAAAAGTGGAATGCTGAGATCCACTTTAGCTCAGCAAGGTAAGAACATTTCCTTCCAGTTCCATCAGAACTTTGGAATTTGGCTTGGTCTGAAATACGTTTCAAGAACAGCCCCCCCCAGTCTGGCAGTGCTGGTTTGGTGAAGAAAAACTTCACCAAAGAAGAGAAACTTCATTAAAATGAGATGTAAATGGCAGTTGAATGCAGGGGGAACTACACTGAGTCAAGTCTTAGAAACTCTCATTTTCAGCAAGAATTCTCCCAGTGAAAAGCTCCGTTGCAGCATTTTTAGGCAGCAGTTCCACCCCAAGGATTTTCTGCTATTTCAGGGGAGGGCACTGAGCTAAATTTTGTTTTTCAGACTTCGTGCATGGAGCCCACGTGACCTTGCTGACATTTTGGAAGAAACCACACGCACCTGGGCTCGGGTTTAAATGTCAGCCCTTTTCTTTATCTCTTTTCTGAAGCAAATTCTCTCGATTCTTTCAACCTGGGCAAGGCCTTTTAACCACAGGAGTGGAGGTGAAGTTCTTTTGAGGAAGTTGCCCCGGCAGATGTGGTGTTTTTTGTGCTTGCGGTGTACAAAGACGAGCCAGCTGAAGTAGAATTTTGGAACAAAAAATAAAAAATGAAGCTCACAATTTTCATTTTTTCAGTTGGTAACGTTTTCAAGAGGTTTGTACTTAATGGAGCTTGTTTGAGATTCCATGGAGATTATAAAGGAAGGGGGATGTTCTAGTTTGAAGCAGGAATTTTCCCTGGTTCCTGGTGCAGTACAGAGATGCAGTTGAGTCCCCATGGAATAACTGTCATTTTAATGACAATCATTTTAAGATAAGCTCCCATGAGGCTCCAAAACCCTTTAAACTGAATTTACAGAATGAGAATCTCCTCAGTGGGATCAGGGTGAGATTCTGCAGAAATCAGATTTTTTTTCAGGGAAGTGTAAGACGTTTGAGCTCATTTTTCACTTCCTTTACCATCTCCTTGAGAACTGAAAGCATTCCCATTGCAAACACTCTTTGAACTCTTCGTGTTAGGAATATTATTTCCAGGCTCTTCTCTTTGGATGATGCTCCTCCTGCCTCTTCTATCTTTGGATTTTACTCCCTACAAAACCATGGACATTCATTTTCCCCTTCTTTACCTTTCCCAGTGCTTCCATGGAGCATTCCAGCTGTACATCCAAGCTGGTGGAACCCTTTGACCCCTCCTACTGTTGTGTTTGTTCTTGAGCCACTTCTTCATCCCTAAATTCTCCTGATATTCCTTTGGTTCCTCCTCACCCTGAGCTGTTGTGTCTGAAATTCCAGCCGAGACAACGCACTCACCAGAAGATCTCCTGGGGGATGGGGAAAATCCGGATGTTCCTCCTTCAAATCCCAACTTTTCTGCCTTTCTCCTTCCTTTTCTCCCCAAGTATTCCCTCCTGCAGTGTGCCTGTTCCATGGAATTTTCCCTTCCCAGAGTGCTGGCAGTGCTTTCCCCACCGACTTCTTGTTAAGTGCAGAAGGAAATGAGTTAACTCAGCTCCTGCTGTTAAACCCTGGAAATTGTGGTTAAGTAGTCAGCCATCATAAAAAAAAAAAGAAGGCAAACATTTGGTTTAAATAGAAAAGTTCTTCTGATTGTTCAATCAGCATTAAAGCAGGAGACACACACACACAAAAAAAGGAGTTTATTTAGAATTCCTGTTCCACCTGGTGACAGAATTTATGTCATTTGCAAC